CTATTCCCTCTTGCTGACTATAACCTTGTGCTACCAGTCGTGCTTGGTTTCTGATAACTTCACCTTGTTCGTTCAGCTTGTTTCTGAACACCCATCTTGTTCCAATGACGTTGAATCCTTTTGGTCTGGGAACAAGATCCCATACGTCATTTCTGGTGAATTGATTCAGCTCTTCTTGCATTGCGAGAATCCAGTCGTTGTCCATAAGTGCTTCATCAATAGAAGAAGGTTCAATCAGAGACACAAGTCCCATGAGGGATTCTTCAGAGTTTCTGAAGCTGGCTCTTGTTCTGATTGGATCTTCCTTTCTTCCTAAGATAGTTTCTTCTGGGTGATCCAAGCTGCTCCTGGGTAGTCTCTTCTGAGGTTGTTCAACAGCTATTGTAGGATTGCTAGCAGTGCTCCTTTCAGTTGTTGAAGGAGTGTTGTTGTTTAGCGCTTCTGATGACTTGTCTTCAGAACCTGTAAATTCAACTTACATACCTGCAAAAACTTCATTCTGCTTTGACTTTTCAGAGTCAAGCTTATCATCAAAATGAACACTGATTGATTCTTCCACAATCTGTGTTTCTGTATTGTATACTCTGTACCCTCTTGAGCGTTCAGAGTATCCTAACATAATACACTTCTGTGCTTTAGAGTCAAACTTGTTCAAATAATTTTTTGTATTTAACATAAAACAAGTACATCCAAATGGATGAAAATATGAAATGTTGGGCTTTCTGTTCTTCCATAATTCATATGGAGTCTTTTCCAGAATAGGTCTTATTGAGATTCTATTCTGAATGTAGCACGCTATGTTTATTGCCTCTGCCCAGAAGATCTTAGCAACGTTTGTCTCATTGATCATGGTTCTGGCCATTTCTTGCAATGTTCTGTTCTTTCGTTCTACAACTCCATTTTGTTGGGGAGTTCTAGGACAAGAGAAATCATGCAGAATGCCTCTGTCATTAAAGAATGACTCAAAATCTTTGTTTTCAAACTCTCCACCATGATCACTTCTGACTTTAACGATTCTAAGATCCTTTTCATTCTGAACTTGGTTACAGAAGGTAACAAACACAGAGTGTGACTCGTCCTTGTGTCTTAAGAACTTTACCCATGTCCATCTGCTATAGTCATCTACGATTACTAACCCATACTTCTTGCCACTGACTGAAGCAGTTTTAACTGGTCCAAATAAGTCAATGTGCAGAAGTTCTAATGGCTTAGAGGTAGAAACAACATTTTTAGATTTGAAAGAAGGTTTTGCAAACTTGCCTTTATGACATGCTTCACACAGAGCATCTGAATTGAACTTCAGATTAGGAAGTCCTCTGACCAGATTGAGTTTGTTAATCTGAGATATTCTTCTCATACTAACATGCCCCAATCTTCTGTGCCAGATCCACTGCTCGTTGTTAACAGACAGAAGACACTTTACATTCTGACTTTTCAGTTCAGAAAGTTTGATTTTATAAATGTTGTTTTTCCTCTTTCCATTAAATAGGATAGTCTCATCTTTCTGACTAATAGCTTTACATGATTTTTGATTAAAGATTATATCATAACCGTTATCACTTAATTGACTTATGGATAACAGATTATGCATTAATCCATCTACTAGCAGAACATTATTTATAGAGGGAAGATTTCCATTACCTACAGTTCCAGAGCCAATGATCTTTCCCCTCTGATTGCCTCCAAAGCCAACGTGGCCTCCAGGCTTAAGTTCCAGGCTTTGGAACATATGCCTTCTTCCTGTCATGTGTCACGAGCAGCCAGAGTCCAGGTACCATGACTGGTGTTTCTGATTTGCTGCTAAAGATATCTGCAACATGTATTATTTTATCCTTAGGTACCCAGATTTTCTTGGGTCCTGATTTGTTAGATTTACCAAAACTCTGGTTGAATTTTGGTTTCACAGAATACTTACTACTAGTGTATTTAATATCATGTGTGTGACCATACACAAAATGTGAGTTCAGAGGAGTGTGTTTAATGGTTAAATCCATGACATTCTTTGGTGTAGGAACCTTACCTTGGTATCCTATTCCCTTTCTGCCGTTTCTGCTAACTCCATAGATCATTGAAGCCATTTTGCTTCTATCTATGCTTTTAGCAAGGAACTTCTGGAAACTATGATCATACTCCTTGATGATCTCATCAGCGCTGTTGGGAGTTTCAGAAATTGGTTCCTTCTGAGAGTTTTGTAAAACATTTTCTAATTTTGAAATTTTATTTCTCAGCTCAGAATTTTCCAATTTAATACTCTCAGTCTTATCAGAGTCAGATTCAAGATTCCTTTTCAGGTTTCTGAATTTAACTCTAATCTGCTGGTACCTTTCCAGAATTTCGTTAAGGCTTTCAGCAAGTTCAGCCTTAGTAAAATTAATTGCAAAGTCAGGAAATACCTCTTCAGTGTCTGATTCTGAGTCTGATTCAGAAGCTTCACTGTCTTCTGAAATGTTGGCCATGAGAGCTATGTTTGCTCTCTCATCATCTGATTCTGAGTCAGCTTCAGACGAGTCAGAGTCATCCCATGTAGCCATGAGACTTTTCTTCTTTTCTCTTCCAAACTTCTTTTTGGGCTTTTCCCTCTGAAGCTTTGGACAGTCACTCTTGTAGTGTCCTTGCTCATTGCATTCATAGCAAATGATGTCCTTGGTGTTTGGCTTTCTGCTTCCTGAGGAGCCTTCAGATCTTCTGTATCCAGAGGAAGAATCTGACCTTCTGTATCTGGAAGAGGACTCATTCTGATCAGATCTTCTGGGATTCCTGAACTTCCTTTGCCTCTGCTTCCACAGTTGGTTCACTCTTCTGGAGAGGAGAGAAAGTTTGTCTTCTTCTGATGAGGATCCATCAGATGTTTCTTCAACTGCCTGCAAAACTTTAGACTCAGATTTTTTGTTAGATTTTAATGCTAAAGGCTTACCTTGCTTCTGAGGTTCATCAGCTTCTAGCTCTATCTCATGACTTCTGAGGGAGCTCATAAGTTCCTCCAGAGAAATTTTGTTGAGATCTTTAGCTAGCTTCAGCGCTGTAACCATTGGCCTCCACTGCTTTGGCAAGCTTCTGATGATCTTCTTGACATGATCAGCAGTAGAGTATCCTTTGTCCAGAACCTTGAGACCAGCCACCAGAATTTGGAATCTTGAGAACATTGTTTCAATGGATTCACTTTCTTCCATTTTGAATGCCTCATACTTCTGAATGAGCGCAAGAGCTTTAGTTTCTTTGACCTGAATGTTGCCTTCATGCGTCATTCTGAGTGAGTCAAACATGTTCTTTGCTGTGTCTCTGTTAGAGATCTTTTCATATTCAGCATAAGAGATGGCGCTGAGAAGGATGGTTCTGGCCTTGTGGTGATTTTTGAAGTCACGCTTTTGTTGGTCAGACATTGCTTTCCTGTCAATCTTCTGACCGCTTGCATTCACTGGGTGCGTGTATCCATCTGTCACCATGTCCCACAGATCAGCATCATGTGCCAGAAAGAAGCTTTCAATTCTGTCTTTCCAGTGATCAAAATTTTCTCCATCAAAGACTGGAGGTTTGCCGCTGAATCTGTCTCTGTCTTCATTGTTGTCATTGCTGGTGTGTTGATAAGTTCCTGCCATTGTGTTTTTCTGACATTGGATCTTGTACTGACACGGTTAAGTGTTTTAGCTCAGAACCAGGCGCTCTGATGCCAATTGAAGAAGTGAAAAACACAAGAAGGGGGGTTGAATTGTAAAACTTGAAAATCAATTGCAATCAACACGATATTTTTATCCTGGTTCGTTTGATCTCAAACTACTCCAGTCCACCCGTCAAGGTGATTTCGCCTCTCTCCAACGAGGTCTTAATCCACTATATTCAACTGAATATTACAATCTGCTTTAACAACTACTAAAGCCTTCTTGAGTCAAACCACAAACCGGTTTCTTAAGGTAATACTTTCTTACAGATAATTGAAATCTAGGTGTGTTGAATGTTTTCTACAAAAACAGTTTATCACAACTGTGATACTACACAATTTGAGCTTATAAGAGCTAGAGTGCTAAAGTAATTGAATGAAGAATTTGAAAGCTTTAGCAAACTGATAGTGAGGAAGATGATGAATAGCTTTAGGCGTGTAGAAGGTTGTAGAGCATTAGCCCATTCAATCTTCACTGACTGGTTTATATAACATTGGAAATAAGGTACGTTGGAGTAGTAATTCCGTTTCAATGCCAATAACATTCTTTCCTTATTAAGCAGATCTTGTCTGGAAAGATGCCGTTGGTAATAAAGCATCTTGAATGCACAGTACCGTTGCCACTTAAGCGTGTTCTGGCTTTGGCTCATTCTGACGCTGCTTAGGTGCTGATGAACTGTTGTTTTCTATATCAGAGTTCAGATGGTTAAGCGCAGATCTGTTCATCAAGCTTCAGCGTAAGCACAAGTTGATCTTCTGATTCTGGCATCTGATACAACATCTTCTGATGCTGATGTTGATATCTCATCTTCTGATGCTGATGATAATGTTCTCTTGCTGATACCCATCAGAATTTCTATAAAACAGAACGTAATTTTTTAGGCAACATATATGTCTTACATGAATCATACAATTAATATATCTTGCATTTTGTTATCATCAAAACTTAAACTTAGGGTAGTAGATTCAAGCTTTGTTCTAACAGTTTTCAGCTTATTTTTTTAAACTCTTTTGGATAGATTATGAAAGCAGTTTATAGTTTATATAGAAACAATTTAACTTTATTTATATTTTGTTATAGAAATAGTAACTTCATAAATATGCAAAAAAACTAGATACCAGACACGACACCGACAATGACGCATCGATATTGATAATAATTTAAATAAAAAAAAATTGAACGTAATTACAAGTGTCAGTGTCGCGTCGGCGACACGGACAGAGACACATTTTTTTCCAAAGGTGTTTGCTGTGCTACACAACACATTATGTTTGCGGGGATAATATATTAATATTGATACCCTTACAGATATGTAGCTACTTATAAGTTGTAAGTCACAGTTTCTTACCAGTCATTATAGCATTTCATACACAAAAAATGGTTGCAATTTGGCAACACAAATTTGTTGTTCATCTCCATACAAATAGGACATTCTTCTTCTCTCTCTATATCAATTTCATATGGCTTTCCTTTTTTAATCACATCTTTCGGTTTGTACTTTGTAGCGCATAAATCTTTTTGTTTCCTCTCCTCTACCTCAGTGATTCCTCCCTTGAGTTGTAATAAAGACGGAAAGATCAAACCTGATATTAAAAAGCATAAAAGCATATCAAATTTGAATTTCAAGTCATCGAACACGAAAATCATACATAGACATGGCATAGATTCAAAACTGTTGCGGACAAACTGTTCTCCAGAAGACTTGGTGCGAAGCTACGACTAATAGTAAAAGTGATTAATCACTTACCATAGAACTCCTTTAGACTAGCTTTTCTTTCATAAATGGTGGTTTTCTTCCCTTCATCATATGCCTGCAACAATTCCAACATTTTACTACAAACTCGACAGTAAAATGATCGCATTAGTCCACACTATGGTTACATCTATTTACAGTACTCTCTGCGCCATATCTCAAGAGGTTGAGCTGAGACAATCAAAGGAGTCTGAGAAAGTTCAGAGTTCAAAACCTAGACACTGACAACAAACATTTGTCTTTCCCGAAAAATGAAAAAGTGTATTCAGAATCGAGCAGTAGCAAACGTACCTCGGAGATGAGAATTCTAAGCAATCCTAAGAATCCGGCGAGATGGCAATCAGTCCACTGAACTAGAAAAAGAAGAAACTGAGCAGCTGGGCTATAAGACAATCTCATTTGAAAGCAGACTCCATCATTTCCTCTTGGATAATCAGAAGCTCTGTGTCAATGAATAAATTACAAAATATAAGACGTAACATATGCACTCAAATTATAAATAACCATGCGAAAGAACCGTAATTCCCAAGTAAACTTCATGATGATGTGCCACAACAACTACAAATTTATGTACTAATGTTCAAACAAAAAATGAAAGCTAGAACATTGAGATTAAAATTAAAATTAAGCTAATATTGAAAGTTATAGAGTCATGTACAGAAGCATGTTTTATGAGTTTACTTTAAAAAAAGATAAAAGTGAAAAAAGACAAACCTTGAATTTAACACATAAAAGTGAAAACCCCAGGGGCTGACCTGTTGGTGAAGACTTGGGACTTAAAAGTGTGTTTTTTCCAAGATTTCATGTTCGAATCTCACTGGGTGCTAAAAATCTCGGTTAGGCCAGTCTATTCAAAGTTTTACTCTTTAAATGGCTATGTGCTAGTGAATGGTGTGATTGGTGCTCTTGGATTGGTCGATGCAGGATCAAATACTGAGTTTTCGAAGAAAAAAAACATAAAAGTACCTACCTTTCGACTATGAAGTAGTAAAGCAGAAAAGTGAAATATAGACACGGGATATCAATGCTAACACTTGTAATAACGTTGTCGGACATCTATGAAACAATAAAACAGACACGGACTCCGAACACCGACAGAAACACATAGACACTATGTGTGGGTGCTAAACACTAATATGTGTCAGTTGTCTGACACCCTTCCATTAGAAGTATCGGTGCTATAGAGACGGATACAGATGAATATTGTCAACACATGTTGGACACATCATACACATCTTTAATAGCAACATCACGTGGGAAAAAAAAGAAGCTAAACTGCACGTGATTCATCCTAATTGAATCTTCTTTACATCAAAAGCTACCACACCATGGAAAACAAAAACACAAAATCAAATATTTCAAAAATCATGACACTACAATCACAACAATTAACATTTCACAATTCATCAATCAAATCAACGAAATTGAATATTACAAATTACAAAACAAGAAAGAGAAATTTACAGAGTATTGGCAAATTGAATATCAGCTTCAAGAGCTTTGAGAGAATCCTTGAAGGACTTTCGCATCTCTCTCATCACCATAATCACGTTTCCTTCTTCTTCTTTTTTCAAAAACCGTAAAACTCAATGAATCATCCGCACGTGAAGAAATTCACCTCATTCAAAAGCTTAACTGATTCTTCTTTTTTAGTTGCTAAAAACAATCAAAGGAAGAGAGAATTTCGAGAGAGTGAAGTTGGAAAACCAAAAAAAATATGATAAAATAAAGTGAAAAGGTTTTGTGGGTTTTTGGCTTGAAGCACACGTAACCCCTTTATATATGTCATTCTTTTTTTTATTGTTACCTTATCTATTATAGTAATTTAAGTAAGATTTTATATAGTATTGTTTAATTGTATATAGTAAATAGATTTTGCTTAAAATATCAATACTCAACAAAAATCGATTTATTTGTACCTAAGAATCTATCAATATTAGATTCAAGTGGGCTTGGTTTAAAGTATTTGAATTTACTAATCAGTTAAAAGAGTATAATTATTGTGATTCAGTGGTGGTTAGTTTTAAATTTAGTAAAGAGAATTACGGTTTGACTATAAAAAAATTAAAATTATTTGATAAAAAAATTGATTCTCAAATCAGATTAATCGGTTTAATAAATTAGATATTAAAAAAATATAATAGAACTATTACACAGAAACATTTAAAAAAAACAGAGATTAAGTCAAAATTCCAATCAAACAAATAAAAAATAGCTTTAAATCTATAAAAAATAATTGAAATAACTTAAAAGAAAACAAAAGTTAAAAGTAAATGAACATGAATAGAAAAAAATAAAACAAATGAATATTAATAAATGACATCAATATTCTTAATAAAAGTCAGATATTATGAAAAGAAAAAATCTAAATTTCATTACAATCAATTTTAGAAAAACAAAAAAAAAAACTATTTTGTAATAAAAAAAAAGCTTACTATGACAAAATTTAAAAGCAAAAATTGCAAAGAATAAAATTACTACTACTATTGTTTATAATCACCACCACCATAATTTCTGTAACAAAATGTGAAACCACTTTAAAAACACTGCCATTATTTAGGATCACTGTTCTAGTAAATGGCTTATCAACCCATGAGAATAAAATTCAAAGGAATTTGAAGAAAGAAGATCCTCTTATCCCGTTTATTTATTACGTTCTTGTGGCTAAAGGTCTTAATAGTCTAATTAGGAGGGTTTTGGATTTGAGACTTTTGTTTTATTTTAGAGTTGGTTTCTCTAGTATTAAGATTTCCCATCTGCAATTTATTGATGATATTATCATTTTGACGGAGTCTTCAAATGAGAATATGTTGACCACTAAAACTATGTTTAAGGGTTTTGAGTTAGCTTCAGATTTTGGAGTTAATATTCAATTGAGTTTTCTTCTTAAAGCTAATCGGTGACTTTTTGAGTCTTTTCCTTTTAAGTATCTAGAGTTACTACTTACTAGTGGAGTGAATTTTAGGTTAAAATTTATTTGAGATCCTCTTGTTAATTTGATACGGAAAAGACTTAATTTTTGATATCATATACGTTAGTCTAGGTGGTAGAGTGGTCCTCATAAATTTCATCCTCATTTATGTTTTCTTCCTATCTTTCATTAAGATGTTTTGAAAGTTTAGAAGACCTTAGTGAGGATCTAAAGGAGGTTCCTTTAGGGCGGTGTGAAAGAAGATTCTAAGATATCTTGGATGAAATGGTCGGATGTGTATAAACCTAAGAATAACGAACAACATGCAAAAACCAGAACATATGCACACCTTCGGAGTGGGACCGGCCTCTAGAACCATTATTGGTTTAAGCACATGATAAGGTTATGGGGTCAATCCAAGGAGAGTAAAGAGTTCAAGTGTAGCCTACAAGAAAATTAAGTCCAAGCCAAAAAGATACTCTTATCCTCACATTTTTCAACAAAAAATTGACTTCTAATTCCTTCATTTTTCGTGAGTCCGCGTTTGTTCTCCATCTTTGTCGGTTACAACTTCCTCATATCTCTGAACCAGAAAGTGTTAGAGAACAAAGATGAGGATTTGTTGACCACCGCTTCTGCTCTACGTCTTTAGGATCCAAACCTCTGATTTCCTCGAGAACTCCACAAGAGAGAATAGGAAGGTTCTCAGGCCCAAATCTAGAATTGTGTTGGGCGCTAAGAGTGATTTCCATGAAGACCGGGCAGGAAATTTACAATTTGTCTCATGATCAAACGTCGCCATCGCGCCTCCCTCTTTCCAAGCTCATACTGATACGACACCTTTAAGATACCACAAGTTGGTAGTTAATGATGACCATATACTACAAGTTTGTAGTTAACATCGGGCGACAATTCGATATCGGGGTGCATCTTATGGATACTATAGGATTTTCACTTGACGCACTAGGGTCCCCACCGACCGAATAATAAAGTAGAGGCCCACTAGAAATAACCAAAGAAATATATCTCAGATCCCGGTTTCAAGAATATCGATCGGTATTAGCATCCAATCGTCTCTCAACACTCTCGTTCCAAAAGTAAGAGTCGACAGGGAAGGATCCCAAAATTGACGATCAAAAAGCGGCTCATTGAAGCATTGAACCAGCGATTCAATGAGCCCAAAATCAGAAGTTGGCCTTAAGCTACTCTTTAGAGTAGTTGATCCTCAGACACACATCAGCATTCATGCGCAAGGAAAGGCACCTCAGACGCCACCCACCCAAAGGAAGTGATTCAAAGTGAAAAGCACATCCATCCTAGATCCCGAAGGAGGAACTACAACCAAAGACCTCGGACTCCGTCCGACCACTCCGAGGTCGTCGATGATGGTTATCAACCTCGACATCTATATGAAAGTTAACCCGCATGACAGATTCACCATAGAAACACCTGGGATCCCCTTGAGGTAGAGACCCACTCCATAATAGGGAGGAAGTCAGGCTCTCTTAGCCTGATAAAATCGTGAAGCGCCTCACCAGAGCATCAGATGGAGAAATTCGACGAACGCAAAAATCATAGGCCGACCCCTGGTTACATTCAATGGAACAGTCGGTCGTCCAACATACACTAACACGCAAACATGAGGCAATACACCTCAAACATTATCCACAAAAAGGAGACATTACAAAGCCTGTGGTACATTCAGCCTGAAGCCTCAAGGAAGAGTAACAAGTCAGGACCCCTGACACTGTCTGACCAATCTAAGGTTACAGTCGGGGTTATCCACCCTGTTGTACCCCGAAATTTGCCCTCTCTTTCTTCAGGAAATCATCTTGGATTTTCAAGGTCCCTCTAAAACAAATCCAAGTCCTGAGTTATCATTTTTTGCCCAAGCAGACCATTTACAAGAGCAAGATGATCACACAAGCTCTAAAGACAATGCTTTTATCTTGAGAAAAAAATTAAATTCTAAGTACTTGGAATGTTTCTCTAAAAAATGAGTGTTTAAGAAAAAATCAGTGTTTCAGAACTTCTGGACCAATTCCGGATAAAAACGGTCAGAAGTTGCAAGCTTGGCTCAGCGTAGTCAGAAGTTGGCTCTTCAGCAGCTACATCAGCTCAATCAGAAGTTGTAAACGTGGTTCAAAATGTAAGCCTCAGACAGAACATGACTCTTTCAGCAGTTACGCAAGCTCAGTCATAATTTGCTAAAGGAATGCAAAAGAAGCAGGGAAGTCTGAAGGCTCTTTCAGAACATGCTGAAATCAGAAGATGAAAAGGTCAGAAGAGTGGGTGTTACACTGATACAAAATCTCTAAGCCCAGGAGGTCCAGAAGCAAATCCAAGGAACGTATCAGAAAATCAGGAGAATCCCCAGAACTTACTAAGACAACAGGAAGCCAAGGCCAGAGCATGGTTTACGCTGTTCTTTTTGAAACAGAACTGCTGATTCAACGTTGGTTTCCATTACCAGAATATTGATGTTGATAGGTCTTATCACCATTTAATGCTCATTAATGCTTCCAACCACTCCTGGACATTCCTCCAAGTAATCCCTTCACGTGTGGCTTGGAAAACGCCTTTATGCAGATTCTGGCATGGGTCTACACACCACCGCCCACTTAAGAGGTCACTTCTCTCCAGTCCACGCCTGCTGCTGCAGCCTAGGCTGAAGGCTATCTGTTATCACAACTTCCCAGGAATTTCCGTCAAAGAACAATTCAAACTCTGTTGGCGCTTTAATGTTCAAGGCACCCATAAGAACTTTGCCTATAAATAGAGAGTCATTGTCCACTGAAAAAGGGCGTTCAAGAAACAGAAAAATTGCTAAGAGAGAAACAGAAACCTTTAGCAAGATAGTGTTCTGAAACTCTGCCAAAATCTCCAGTTGTTTCATAACTTTGAATTTCTCATCTTCAAACTTTATCCAATACCCAGTTTTCTGTGTGAACTAAAAAACCTCTTTTCAAACTTCTGACCCTACATACGCATACACCTTCACCTGCCTTTTTTCAAAAAAAGAATCTGTCCAGAACACCACCAGAGCCAAAAGCTAGCTTTCACCCACAAACTTTCCCAACAGCCAGGTAAGCACCTGCTGACCTTCATCACGCTGCTAAGCATCATCAGCTGTGCATGCTCAAATAAACATAATGTAAATATCATGTTGTTGCTGTTTGTATCCTGAGAATTTTCATACCTCAGGATGTTCTGAGCCAGTGTAGGACCTGCCTGTGACCTTATTGGTTCTGCCCTCTGAAACATTTTGACATTTGCTGGATCTGTTCCAAATATGTTTCCTGTTTTGTGGAATAACAACAAAATTGCAGATGTTCTGATTAGTACAGTGAAAAGCCAAGTGCTGACTTTGACGTTAGCACATCTGAAGCCTGTTTTGCTGTCAATAATATCAGAACCTCTGAGAGTTATTGCCTTTCCAGCAGAATCAGAATTTCTGGTTTCTCCACTAACAAACTTCTGTCTTGCAGCGCAGGGGGGTCAGAACTTCTGATTTCCCCACTAACAGGGTTCTGTTTTGCAGGTGCTAGAGTCATAAGTTCTGACTCATACAGTTTAACCAAGAGGTTGATCATCTGGCAGCGGATCTGAGTCATAACTTCTGATGACCTCTCA